TGATAGGTATGTCACGAACGTCCGACAAGATGACAAAGTAGCCGATGGTGTTACGTGATCTGTAGCCGGAGCACGTAACCGACCCGACGGATGTCGTAGGAGATGATGTGGCGGTGGACGCTGGCGGCGATGAGATCGGCAGCGATGTCACGGCGCGAAAACTTCCAACACTCACACTTCCAAATCAGCACGCTCGTCGCCCGGCCCGCTTGCAAAGCAGGGGCCCGACCTGCAATCTCGGAGCACGCCGTCTCGAAACCCGCGGCGGCGACTGGCATGCGCCGAGAGTTATATCCAGCAAGAGCCTGGGTGAAAGCTGAGGCACCTCAGCTGATATGAGATGCCCCGAGGTGCCGCATCCAGTACTCCAGCGAGCCAACAATCGCGAAGCCTGCCTGCGCGGGGCCCTCCACGCGCGGGCTCGGTCTCGCCGGGGCCGCGAGCGGCGCATCCGCAGCTGACGGCGGCGCCGGGGCCGAAGCCGCCGCGGTCACCGTAGCTGGCGATGCGCCGTTGGCCAGGGCCTCTACACGCTGCGCCATGCAAATCGCCGCCTGCATCGACCGTCACGAGCGGCTGGATAATCGCCGCCAATATTCTCGGCTGGGCCTGCATCGCCGAAAGCATGGCCAGCGCCGTGTTCGCGGAATCGGCGAGGCCATGGACCGCGCCATCTCCACCGCCCAGGGCGGAGGGGGCTTGTTCGAGCGCGAGCTCCACGTCTCCTCGACCATCGGGCTCGAGCTGTCCGCTCTACTGGCCTGTCGAGGCCCCATCGGCGCGGAGGTCTGGGCGGACCCTGAGAGCTGGCTCTGGATGCGTGCCCGCTCCTGCACGGTCAGCCTCCAGTTGCCGTTGCCCGTGGAGACCTTGGCGCAGTAGCCAGTCCTGGTCTTGAAATTCTGGCAGCCCCCCCATTGCGCGCGCTGGCCCCCGCCGTCTGCGATCTCCCATGGCGGGCGAGCGCGCCGCGCCCAGGAACGAGTAGCCGCGTCAATGAGAAGCCTCGAGTCCTCCATTAGCCGCCCGCGGTACATCTTCGAGTCGACCAGCCGCCCCCCCTCGCCATCTCGGCGATTTCTCGGGCCCGGTTCAAAGTTCACCTCGAACTTGGAGGGCGCCCTGGAGCAGCTCTCGCGAAGAGCTCGAGGTGCCATCTCGCCCAGCAGCGAGATCCAGGAGCCGCCTTTCTCGGAGGCGTTGACAGCCAGGTAGGATAATCCATTGCCAGCTGCTCCAGCACTGCCCCCAGCACCACGGCCGCAAGGTCGCTGACCCTGTTGGTCCTCAGGCTTCGGAGGGTTCTCGCACTCGGCGCGCCAGCGCCCAGTCTCGCCGCGCCGGCCGCACTTCGCGACAAGCTTGAGTTGGGCTGGGGCAAGCCTCCGGCGTCGACGCAAGAAGCCCACGTCCTTCTGAACTGCGTCCTTCAAGTCCTTGCTTTCCTTCAGCGCCCCCCGCTGGCCCTGACGCCACTGATCCAGGGCGTCGTTCCCCTCGGACTCCGACAGTTTCCGGCCGCTGAGCTCCACTAGGACGGCCAGCACGTCGTCTGACTCGGGCTCGTCGGCCCGCCAGGACCACGCCATCTCTGACTCTCCAGTGCGTTCCTCATTCGCCACCTCGGCCTGGGACGGGCCGCTGGCCCCCGGCAAATTGCCACGCTTGCTGTCGTCGCCCCAGGCCAGGCCACCCGTGTCTAATCGGAGCGCGTGAGGCTGCAGACGTTCTGATTGCACCAGGACGTCAGCCTGGCGCCCTGCAGTAGTGGCATTCTCGGATATTCGGTGGAAACTCCATGCCGATCGCCCTGGTTCGCTCGAACTGTTGGTGACGCTGGTCGACGAAGTTCTGGAGGTCATGATCGCGCTTCCTCTCGATATCCTTAATGGCCTCGCCTCCAACACGGAAGACTTCGTCGCCGTCTCGTTTACTGGCCTCTCGACGCAGGTGGCGCGTGATCCTCTCAACGGAGAGCTGCTGCTCAAGGACGAACTCCAGCTTTGCCCTCAGGTCCCAAGACAGCTTTTGTCCAGAACCCGCTCCGCGCACTGGGACTCCGTGAGCCCGGATTTGGGTTGCCATCGTTGAACGCACTGTCGCCACGGCCGGAACTTCTCCCAGCCCGACCAGGACGGGGCGGGTCGAATGTTCTGTACGCCCTGCCATTCACTCCAGCCGCTCCAGCCAATTCAGCCTTGCCACTGCCCATCGATCTTCTGGGACCAGTTCCCCATTCCTTGGGAAGCTCTGGTGGCGGTTCGATACGGTTGCGGTCGTCCTTCTGCCTGAGTGATGGTGGAAACTCGTCCTCTCGAGGTGGCCGGAGAGCCTATTCTGTCTTATATGTTCCAGAAGTCCAAGCCTTTGCAGACCTGCTTCCCGACGACCAGCTCCCAGCAGCAGCCTACTCTGTCCCATGTTGGCGACCGGGATCTTGGGCCCAGTCGTTCCTGCGTCGTGTTTCGGTGCTGGAGGCTCAGGGCGATCGAACTGGATGTCTGGACCTGCCTCGGCCGGCGGTGGACACCACGAAGTTGGCCCAGATGGGCCTGTTGCCGGCGTGGGTGTTCCCTCGCCCAGACCAGAACCTCCCACGACGTCGGACCCGATGGTGTCGCCGCCGCTGCTGCTGCTGTCGAAGCTCCCTGGTCGCCCCTTCAACAGCTCTGCCACTCTGCCTGCGATGCGGTCGAGATCCTCTGCCGACAAGCTCTCAGTCATGCGGTACAGTCATAGCGTCAATCTTCGCACCCTTTTTATCCGCTCAGCCCCTCGGTCGCCGTGGATCGATAAAGCCTGCTAGCTGAAAAAGCGCCCTTGGGCGGCCTCAGCCAACAGCCCTGAAACCCCGATCAGCTGCCCCTGTTGGCACGGACGGGTCGGGCGGATAATCGCGAAGCGCTGCATTTTCAGACATTTCCGGTAGACAAATGAGCTTGAGCCACATCGGTTGCAGGACAGGCGAGCGAAGCGTGAACAACAGGAGCATACACAACGAAGTAGCTGATTGCTTCACGTGCTCCGGAAACGCCTTTCCCGGAGCACGTAACCGACCCGACAAGACAGACAGATAGAGAAAGCTGCCATATGTGCTATAACACCAGGAAGAAGAAGCACTGGCTTCCAAAATTGGGATCTTGCTGTAGCGCCGCACACAATCGGTGTAGGAATTTCCAACTGCTACAAAGATGGAGGGCCAGTGGTTTTCAATATGCGCCCGTCGCCACCACGCCGCGCATATTCGCCAGCAGAACTTACAGCAGCTTCAAGGATAGAGTGCCGGTGATTTTCAAAACGGGGCGTTCGCAGAGGCGCCGCGCACATTCGTTTTCAAGACTTCAAACAATTACAATGATGGAGGCCAGTTCTTGATCAAACTGCGGCTCTCGCTAGAGACTTCCTCGAGTTCAATGCCCCGCGACGGCGGCTCCTTGACCCAAAGGCCTCTCGCCCTAGCGCAGCGCACACTCGCTCGTCTTGAACAATCAAGAAATCACAGCTCATTGAGGGAGGTCAGAGTACGGCTATCGCCTCAGCGCCGCGCACACTCCTTTCGCCAAACTCCAAGAGTTAGGGTGATGGCAGCCGGCTCGCTTCCAAAATGTGGTTGTCGCCGGACACTCTCTGGACGCGGCAGCAGCAGCTGCCCGGATGAAGGGCGGCTTCTTTTCAAATTGGGGCGCTCCCCTGCGATTTCCGCACATGCTACGACCAGAGCAAAACAATTGTGCAACCCTTACACGAATAGAGGGCAGGCCCGACTTGACCGGCTGTGGGCTGCATGGCATCCCCTCCCACGTGCCTGCTGACGCGGTGTAGCAGTTCGCTGCGGCTTGGTGAAGCCGCTCCCACGATGGGATCGAGACCATCCGGGGAGGGCGTTCACAGAAGATCGTCGAACCTGCCCCCCTGGAGCCAACAACCCTTAACGGCAGCACAACTTAAATAGGCTGAAGCGCCGACGTGACTGGCAAAGCTCCCAGCGGGGGGCGGGGGCAGTGGGATGGGTGCAGGGTGTCTTCAAGAAGAGGCAGGCTCGTGTCCGAGTCCGCCACCGTGCCTCTGGCACGCGGCAGGGTGCCCTCATGTCCTTGAAAGGACAGGGGATTCGAAATGGCCTAGAAATTGGGGATGCTCGCAGGGACTCGGCAAGGTAGTCGGGGTCTCCTCGCGTGCCTCTTCCCAGAACCCCAAGAAGATGCCGGGAGCGCAAGCCTTCCACATGCTCCAAGATGGCATCCGGGGCCCGTCGTCGGGCCCTCTCGTCAATCCCAGTGACTGTCTTGGGGGGGGGCCCGCGGGCCCGCTCACGAAACCCAAATCAAAGAAAAGCAGCTGGATTTTTAAAAAAACGAAGAACAAAAAAGAAACAGCTGGATTTTGCGTGCATTTGCCACTGTCTCCTACGCGGCCTTCACATCGTCCAAACCGCCTCAACATGCCCCCCATGAGGGGCTCAAGAGACCCCAACACGGCAATATACCCTCTCGTCGACCCCAAGATGGCCCCATACGACCCCCGACCCGAAACTGTGAACTTGATGATCGTACCTCTCTGCGTGTGCTAGATATACAAGGAGGAAGAGCAGCTCATTCTCAAAGCAAGGCTCGCCTGACTGGCAGGCACATGTGGTGCTCGTCTTTCAAGTGGGCGAATGGTGAAAAAGACTGCTCGCAAGGGCTTATAGGGGGCAGAGTAAGGACAGGGTGTACGGCAGCATCGTTACACATACTGGGTATACTATGATTTTCCTCCTCCTCCTCCGCCTCCTCCTCGTCATCATCATCATAATCAGCATCAGCATCATCGTCCTCATCATCATCAGCAGCAGCATCATCGTCCTCCTCCTCCTCCTCCTCATCATCATCATCATCATCATAATCATTGTCATCATCATCATCGTCATCAGCATACCTTTCTTACTCCAAGGAGGGGCGGGGGGGAGAGGCGCAGGTGGTGGCCGGTCTCGAGGCAGCAAACCTTGAGCCCTGGACCACCGCTCTTGCCGCCCTTCTTGCCCTTCATCATCTCCATCATCATGCTCATCATGGTCCAGGGGTCCATGTTGCTCATGTCCTTGCCCTTGCCGCCGCCCTTGCCGCCCTTGCCCTTGCCCTTGCCGTCCTTACCTTTGCCCCCTCCCTTGCCTCCGCCTTTCCCCCCGGCGCCCCCCTTAGAGATCTCGTCGGAATTCTTGCAATCGATCCACTTCCCGTCGATATAATTGTCGTTGGCGCCCGCGATGGCGGCCTTCACGGACGCGGGATCCTCGAACATGACAAAGCCGAAGCCGCGGAACTGACCCTCGTCGCTGTACTTGAGCATGACTTCCTCCAGAATACTTGAAAGCTCACCCCAGAGTTGCCGCGATGTTTACTACTGCGGCCCACTCCAGCACAGATGCGCCTCTGAACAATCACGTCAGGAGCACATCTTGGAGTCAACCTGGGTGTCGTGAGGGGTCCTCTACCTACAAGTTCGATCACCTCCTGGGGTGCACATGCTCGGGGCAAGGGCTCTTACTCGCGGCACGGGCTGTAAACTCGGGGGCAGGGGTACGAACCCATTCTGAAAGAGATCGGGCCCTCAGCTTGCACACTTCTCAGGGACGGCTGGAGGCCTCTCCTCCTGCCCAGGCATCGCCCCGCGCCCGTTTCGCAAGAACTCACCACACCCGCAGAGAACGATTCGCTTCGTCTACGAGTGCTGGACTGTGACTCGTGCTCACTCTCGGTGGATCGACCACACCGCTCCGACATTCCCTCTCGGAAGGACGAAACCTGGACGCCTGCTTTGACATAACGCTCCAATGCTGCTTGGCGGTGCGGGGCACGACCTGTGGGGGTTGCGAGAGGCAGAATGGTAAAACGAAGTGGGAAGAGCACGGCGCGCAGACTCTGGCTCCTTGATGGTTCCGTAGTACCCGAAGACCTCCCAGACCTTCTCCTCCGTGGTGCTCTTCGGAAGGCCGCCCATGAACATCTTGGCTCCTCCGCCGCCTTTCCGAGAACCGCAGCCGCCGAGAAAACAGTCTTCTACGGAATTCCAATCACATCGAAATTCAACATGGACCCAGTCGGAGCTCATTCTCCCAATTCACAGGCGTCGAGCGAAGATCAAGCGTGTGCAAACACGTCCGAATTCGAAGTCGGCCTGACGACTCGATCTACCAACACGAACCCAACGCCCAGATCGCAAGCGAGAGCCGAACATCTACAGTCGAGGTTGATTGGAGAGGACACGCGAGAGGATACAATATCCTTCCGAGGGCCACATTGCCACAGGAATGTCGAAGGCACGGGTCGCGAAACACAGGACACAAGGGTCCCTCGAGTAAGCAGGGTCGACTTACTAATCAACCTCGACTGTATCGCTTCCTCGGGGCTCCGATCTCCAGGGTGCCGCGGCTTTTTGCACCCCGTGGCCACCCTTGGAGCTTCCCTTGGTGGGCAGCGGGGCGCGCCCCTCCACGTAGTCGAAGAAGCCCTGCAGGAACGGGGCCTCGTGGCGTCCCCAGGGGGGGAGGGAGGAGCAGGAGGAGGAGGAGGGAGCAGGAGGATCGAGGGAGCGGGAAGGCGACGGAGGGAAGAGCAAGGGAGACGAAGGGAGCAGGGGAGCAGGGAGACGAAGGGAGGGAGCAGGGAGACGAGGAGGGGAGCACAGAGCAGGGAGACGAGGGGCGGAGCAGGGGAGACGAGGAAGACTGCTGTCCGGGTTTGGGGCGCCCCGCGGGCGGAGGGGAGGCAGGGCGGGAGGCGAAGGAGGGAGCAGGGAGACGGCAGGAGGGAAAATGGAGAAATGAAAAGCATGCGCAACAACAATAATACGACGAGCAGGAGCAGCGGCGTGCAAAGGTGCGCGACGGCTGGGCCTCGTGGCGCCCTGGATCGAAGTTCGTGTTGCCCGACGCCTTGCAGTAACTCCACCACTGCTCCTTCTGGTCCGCGCCCTTGCGCTGCCAGTCCTTACTTTCTCGAGGGTTCACGTCCTCCTCCTCCTCCTCCTCCTCCTCCTCCTCGCCCTCCTCCCTCCTGGACGTACTCCTCCTCCCCCCTCCTCATCATCATCAAACCCATCGCCATCATCATCACAATCTGCAACATCACCATCATCATCACCATCATCCTCATCATCATCCCCACCTTCATCCTCATCATCACCACCATCATCATCATCATCATCATCATCATCATCATCATCATCATCATCATCATCAGCAGCGGCAGCATCAGCATCATCGTTCACCGCAACGCTCGCTGCATTGCACTGCGATGTCCATGCCAGTGCTACACATCAGCGTGGTCGGTTCCCAACATGTACCCACATAGACTTCGATTGTCCTCCGAAACCCACGCGACCATAACTTAACATTTTCATGCACCTGACCCGGCTTCCTGGCAACAGCGCTGCATCAGATCACGCTCAAGTTCACGTTCACCTACATCTCCCCCTCGGATTCCAGGTGTCCCTCCCACGTTGGCGGCATCGGCGCCAGGCAGTATATGGGCTCGGCCTTAACCATATGGTGCCACTACGTCATCTCCCCTTCTGCCTGTATATGGCGTTCAACTTCGGCCCTACTCGCGGCAAGTCCTACCTGCGGCACTGGGCGGCCCACTTCAGGCGGCGGTTCCCACGGAAGCGGTTCCCACGGCGACGGTTCCCACGGCGGCGGTCCCCGCCACGGCGGCTCTCACGGCGGCGCCTCCCACAGCAGCGCCTCCCACGGCGGCGCCTCGGCGGCTCCCGAGGCGGCGGTTCCCACGGAGGCGGCTACCAAAGAAGCGGTTCCCACGGCGGCGGTTCCCACGGAAGCAACCCCCACGGGAGCGACTTTCTCGGAGGCGGCTCCCACGGCGGCGGCTCCCATTTGGACGATTACCACGGCGGCGGTTCCCACAGAAGCGGCCCCCGTGGCGGCGGCTCCCATGGCGGTTCCCACGGAAGTGGCTCCCATGGAGGCGGTTCCTACGGCTCCCACGGCGCGGGCCCCCACCACGGCGACTCCTCGAGGCAGGACCCTTTAGCTACCACCACGGCCCCCGTGGCGGCAGCTCCCACGACTGCGGTTCCCACGACGGCGGCTTCCACACGGAGACGACTCCCACAGCGGAAGGTCCCACAGCGGCGGTTCCCACGGAGGCGGGTCCCACGGCGGCTCCCCCCCACCCTCCCACAGTGGTTCCCAAGCGGCGGCTCCCCCAGCGGCTCCCGCGGCGGCAGCTCCCACAGAGGTGGCTCCCAAGGCGGCGGTGCCCACGGCGGCGGTTCCCACGACAGCGGTTCCCACGGAGGCGGCTCCCACGGCGGTGGTTCCTTCGGAGACGACTCCCACTCAGGCGGCTCCCGCCCAGGCGGTTCCCACGGCGGCGGTGCCGCCGTGGCCCCCGAAGGCTCCCACGGAGGCGACTCCCACGGCAGCGGTTCCTACGCAGGCGGCTCCCACGCGCGGCGGCTCCCACGCAGGCGGTTCCTACGCACCCACGGGCGGCTCCTACGGCAGCTGTGTCCGCGCGGTGCCCCCTACGCAGGCGGCTCCCACGCGCGGCGAATCCGACGCTGTGGATGCGCAAAGCGACCATGGACGACCTGCACGACGACCAAAAAGGCACTCGACCAAGCGGAGGAACGGCGGTTCCCTCAGGCGGTTGCTCCCTTGAGGCGGTTCCCACCTTTGGGCGATGGCGTCCATGGCCCATCGTCGCTTTAGCTCCGCCGGGCCTGTAGTGCCTGAGACGGGCCGCTCCTGTCTCACCCGCAGGTGCTGCGGCACACGGCGGGGTGCGGCAACACTCGCCGCAGTGCACTGCGAGGTCCATATTAGTTCTGCACACCAGTGTGGTCGGCTCCCTGCCTGTGCCCACGTAGACGTTGATTGTCCTTCGACGCCCGCGCGACCATAAATCATCATCACCACCACAGCCACCACCACCATCACCACCACCGCCATCACCATCCTCATCATCATCATCAGTATCAGCCTTATCATCGTCATCACCACCATCACCACCACCACCATCATCATCCTCATCAAGATCGCCATGATCATAATCATGATAACCATCCTCTACCAGCAGAATCATCATCACAACCACCATCATTAGAATCATTATCACCCTCAATCGTCCACATCATCCTCGCACCACCACCACCATTTTATCATCATCATCAGCAACATCAATAACATCAACATCATCATCACCATCATCGTCATCCTAATCGTCATCATCATCAGCATCATCGTCATCGTCATGATCAGCATCATTCATCATCCTTCATCACCCTTATCGTTATCGTTAGTAGCATCAGCATCAACATCATAACCTTGATCAGAAGCATCATCCTCATCATCACCAGCAGCAGCATCACCATCACCATCACCATCATCATCATCATCATCATCATCAGCATCATCATCATCCTGAATCAGGCTCATCATCATCATCATCATCATCATCATCATCATCATCATCATCATCATCATCATCATCATCATCCTCAAAATCCTCTGCCTCTCTCCTCCTTTTGCTCCTTGCTCTCCGTCTTCGTCCTCCTTTTTCCTCCTCCTCCTCCTCCTCCTCCTCCTCCTCCTCCTCCTCCTCCTCCTCCTCCTCCTCCTCCTCCTCCTCTTCCTCGCACCACTCATTAGGCGTGCCGGCACGGCGGAACAAGCGTTTCGCCTGAGACCCCTCTCGCCAGATATGACAGGATCGAAGGCGAGCCGATTTCGAAGTATGGCTCTCGCGGTAGGGCCGTGCACAGTCGCTTTCAACGTGACTTGCAACCACACATTTGGAAAGCGGATCGTTTATAGACTGTGGCTCTTGCCCTGGCGCCGCAAACACTCGCTGCAAAAATCCCAAATGTTTCCACGCGTGCAGGGCAAAGTGTGCTCAACATGCAGAATGTGGCAATCGCCGTAGCGCCGCGCACACGCGCCTAAACCAACCCAGCAGATAAATGCACGGGTGGAGGGCGACGAGTGCTCAAAATGGAGCTATCACCATGGCGCGGCGCACGTTCGTCTTAAACTGTGCCAACAGAATCACGGATGGAGAGGAAAGTTGCTTCAAACCGAAGCTATCGCGTGAGACTTCCACTGGTCTCATTTCACGACTCTAAGTTTACACACTAGCTGCACGGACGGGGGGTCATGAAAAGGGCTGCCGCTTGGAGATTCCTCGGCTTCGGGCATAAGAAACGTATACTGTTGAAGGAAAGCGCGCCAGTGGATGTCCCTGAATACACAAAAGGCGAGGTGTGCTCGCAGAACCCCCCCCTCCCCCCCCTTCAAAGGGGGGGTGAGATTTTCGACCCCTTCCCCCCCCCCCTTGGCGCTGGAAGGGAGAGGGGGGGGTCGAACCCCCACCCCCTTTCAAGGGAGGGGTTCGAACCCCCCGGGGCGTTACGTTTAGATTCAAGCGTTGGGGTGATGGTGTTCGAGTAAGAGATGATGGGCCAGGGCGAGGTGCGCAAGGAAGTAGGGTCAGGGTGTTAGGGCGAGGTTTGGACGTTAGGTTTCGGGTTCAGGTGTGCGGGCCCGTGTGTTCGGGTTGTGCGTGTTAAGGTTCGTGTGCTGGGGTTCGGGCGTTAGGTTGTGGTGGTTGGGATTGGGGCTGTGCGTGTGTGCGCGTGTGTTCGTGTGATCGTGTGTGTTAATGCGTGTTGATATGTGCGCGACTCTCTGTTAGGGTCATGGTATTAGGGTTCGGGTTGCGGTTTTCCGGTTTGCGTGCAAGTGGGTAGCGAGTAGTGGGTAGGGAGTAGTGGGTAGTGAGGAGCGGGTAGTGAGTAGTGGGTAGCGCGTAGTGAGTAGTGCGTCGAAAGTAGTGAGTAGTGAGTCGCTGGAGGAAAATGGAGATTTGTGAGAAGTGGGTAGTGGGCAGTTGGTAGTGGGTCGTGAGTTGCGGGTTTTGAATATACAGAGTAGTCGGCAGTGAGAAGTGAGTAGCGGGTAGTTGGTACGGAGTAGTGCGCAGTGAGTACCGAATGGTGCGTAGTGAGTAGATGTGAGTAGTGTGTGGTGCATGGTGGGTAGTGCGTAGTGAGTAGTGAGTAGTGAAGAGTGATTAGTGAGTGGTGGGTCGTGGGTCGTTAGTAGTGTGCAGTGAGCACGTGTGTAGTGACTCGTGAGTAGTGAATAATGGTAAATGGGTGATGAATAACGAGTAGTGAGTTTTGAGTGGCGAGTAGTGGGTGGAGGATAGTTAGTCGTGAGGAGGAAGTAATGAGAAGTGGGTAGTGCGTAGTGGCAGTAAGTCGCGAAGAGTGCGTACTGGTTTGTGAGTAGTGGGTGGGACGTAGTGAGAAGACAGAGAAGACTAGTGGGAACGGTGGCGTGAGTAGTGAGAAGTGAGTAGTGAGAGGAGAGAAGAGACAAGTGGGTAGTGGGTAGTGGGTGCTGAGTTGTGAGGCGTGGATCATGAGCAGTGACTAGTGAGTAATGAGTAGTGAGTAGTGAGTAGAGGGTAATTTGCAATGAATAGTGCGCAGCAGTAGTGAGTGGAGTGTGTTGAGTAGTGAGTAGTGGGTGCTGGGTCGGCGCGTTTTGAGTAGTGAGAAGTGCGAAGGGAGTAGTGAGTAGTGGGTAGTGAGGAGTGAATAGAGAGAAGTGAGTACTGGGAAAGGAGTAGTGAGTAGTTAGCAGTGAGTAGTAAGTTCTGAGTAGTGGGTAGTGAGTAGCGAGTAGTGCGTAGTGTGTAGTGAGTAGTGAGTAGTGAATGTGGGGTAGTGAGTAGCGAGAAGCGAGTAGTGGGTAGTGAGTGTTGGGCTGTGTGTATGGAGTAGGGATTAGCGAAGCATGGGTAGTGAGTAGTGAGAAGTGGATAGTGAGTAGTGAGCAGCAAGTAATGGGTAGTGCGCCGTGGGTAGTGAGTACTGTGTAGTGAGAGGGGAGTAGAGACAAGTGAGAAGTTAGTAGTGGGTAGTGGGTAGAGGATAGTGAGTAGCGTGTACTGGGTATGA